AAATACAGGGTTAGTCACCCACCCTGTGACTTCCTCCTGACATTCTAACCTGCCGTGTCCTTTGTATCTGAAGTTGTTGCCGCTGCTGGCACAGGCAGCATTCTGTGTGTCTGCCAGGAGGATTTGTGCTTGACCTACTGAGAGTGACCAGAGCTCCCCGAGGGCACCCAGTCAATGCCACAGAACGGCAGGGCTCTGCAGTCTTCTCAGGGGCGCCACATCCCTCTTGTCCAATGCATTGCTCATGTTTCTACCTTGACTTCCACGGCACGCTATGTACGCTTTACTCTGCGCTGACTGTATGCTCTTACCATATGCTGGCTGGTAGTGTGAGTTACATGTGTTCTCTTCTCAACTCAGTGAGGTTGTAAACTCCTTGAGGACACGGTGTTTTAAGTGACTTACTATCCCTACTATCTAGTGAAAGGAAGGAAGGAAAGAAGGAGAAAGGTCAGACAGGAAGGAAGAGAGGAAGGAAGGGGAGACAGGAAGGAATGAAGGAAGGCTAATAGCAGCAGTATTTATAGAATGACTATATGCCAGATAGTGTGCACTTTCTTATTAATCCAACTACTCAGTGAGGTAGATGCTATTATTACTTTTTCCTAGCTTACGGATGCAACGTGCTTCAGAGGGTTAGGTAATACACCAACGCAACATGCCACAGCGAGTAGACCAGGGAGGTAGCACTCCACCACCGTTGCTTAATTCTAGGGACTGAGCTCCCCATCTCTGATACTATATGGTTGCTTTGAGTGGAGAGTTTTGGGCACAGATTTGCTGATAACAGGAAGCCAGGAATCCATTATAAAGAAAAAAGGAGGGAAGGACAGAAAGCGAATGACAGGAAGGAGAGACCCAGCAATGCATCCTCCTCCTGCAGATGTCATACCTAACCTGTGACAGCACAGTTTCTGCTAATTCCTAAACATCTCCAGGAAGGGTCTGTGTGCTTCTCTCGTAATGTGTTCCAGGTTTTATTCTCCATGTGCTAAAGAGATCCACAGATGGCTCTTTATGCTCTCTTGCCTGTGAGAGAAGACTCACATACAGTCGATTCTCATGCTGTGAACCCTGGATGAATGAATACTGAACGACTGCTCCCAGGGGAAACGCAGGGCTAGGTTCCTGCGAGCCTCTTGTCACATTTTCTCAGCCAGTCAATATGTAACCTTTCTAAATGTGTGTTTCTGTTTAAGAACACCTTATTTAACACAGCGTGTTGATTCATGAGCGCTGACCTCATGACCAACAGCACCATCATTCATGCCCAGAGAAAGCTTATCTAACACACGTCTTCTTTGAGGCACATCACAGCCTTGCACTTAGAACACTAAACAGCACTACACTTGGGGGCCAGTTTAAACAGCAAAATCTCCAACAGAAAGCAGAAAAATGCAAAAAATGTGGCACTAAGTAGACCGTGAAAAGGACACGTTTACGTTATGAGAGCTGAAACCAGAGGCAGAGGGCCGCCTTGCTCTTTTCAAGTGGGAATGTGTGTGTTGGGCGACCCAGATTTTTCACTGCTCTGCTCATGTCCACAAGTGATGCCAAAAGTGCTGCCAAGAGTCCTCCCTTCATTCTGTGGGCCAGTTACAATACTCATACAACTTGGATTTGATGAAACTATTGTTTCTGTAAATGACTATGTGCTTATGTAAATGCCTGAGTTGCAAATTTTAGCAAACAGGTGAGTTTGCAAATTTGAGTGTACGATTAATGAGGATTGACCGTATATGGCATGAAGTTCAGCCAAGTCTTAGATCTGGATATATCAGAAAGCCTGATCTATCTTAGGTTTGTATCCACACATCGGGAACCATCTTCCAGTGGGAAAGCAGGAAAAGAACAGCGAGAGTGATCTGGAGTGTATCATGATGATTCTAGCTGTGTATGTGTGAATAGGACATCATGAGCACATACTAGTTCTGCTGGCCACCTCAGGAGGCTCCTCATCCACTCCCCTGTTTTAGCTGGCAGTTTGTCCTGGTCCTTAGAGATCGTCAGCATCACAGATAACAGAAAAGCTTGCCAAGTCTCCTTACATTAATCAAACAGTTCAAGTCCCATCATCTGTCTCCAGCCTTCTAGAGGCTGAATCTTGCTTAGCACCACGCCTGTGTGTGTGGAAGAAACTTAATAAATGCTTCCTAAACAGCAAGTGTTGGACGGGATTCCCAGGTCCGTCTGCTACTTACATTGTCCTTACTTCTGCCCTCCCTTTGTAATACACTCACATAAATACTTCTGTTTAAAGTTGTGGTCCCCAGAAATTAGCGGTCTTTTAAGACGTTATCAAGCTATTTAAAAAATCTTTCCAAAGATACATTTACCTGGCATAAGACCTCCCAGGTTAAATAAAACGGCCAAGTTTTGTTTTCGTTTTTGTAAATCTGCTTGGAACTACACAGTGAGAACTCTGTATTCTATGTGACAAAGCTACGCATGGAATCATACGGTGAGAACTCTCGTGTTCTGTGTTACCACACGATGGATCACTTGCTAATACTGTCACTCAGTTCCACAGACACATCCTTGATTAACAAAAAGCAGATTACTGCTCAAATGATTTGAAATCATTTGAAATCAATGATTTCAACTGCTTGCTAAGCAAAACTTTCCAAAATATTTCAGGGAAATATGGAGAAGATAATGAAAAGGTTCTTTGGTGGTTAAAGGAGAGAAAAGCACTGATCTAAATGGTTCTGAACACATGGTACTTTTTGTAAATGGGTTTTGTAAAATATTTTTTATTTCATGATTATGATAATGAGTTTTACACTGCTGTGACTTCTGAGCAAAGCAGTCAGTTTCATCTAAATGGGAAAAGTAAGTAACAGAAAAGCAACCATTTTCACCTAGACACTGAAAAATAGCCCCGAGGCTCTGCTCTCCAAGCTTCGCCAGTTCTTTCAACACAGCTCTGCTGATTCTCCTTGTGGCCTCTAGAACAGGAATGCTTCCATGAATTCATCTTTCCTTTGTGGAACATTTTTCTTCTTGTGAGAATTAGCCAGGACCCAAGTGAAGTGACACAAATGACAGTGTGTACTGTGCCAATAAGAGAGCCGCCAAATCCCAGGCAAGCTAACTTGTGTTTCCGCTGAAATTCTTTTTCATGCATTTCTTCCATTCCGGCCACACTGTCATGCCGAGGAACAGCTGGTGCCACACTTCCTGATCAAGGGCAAGGTTATAGCCATGCTTGGTTTTGTGCTTTGAGAACAGAAATGGGGCACGGGGAGGAAAGAGCGGGACAGAATGGAGAACTGTCTCAATGCCCCTGGCTGATTTCCAAGGTGTATTTTTAAGGACTGGAGGACCATATTGTCATGTCCTGGGAATACTTCACTGTCTCTTCAGATAGAAAACTTCATGCTCACTGAGAAACTCCTCACCCACGTCTGTGCAAAGGCCCAGGGCCCTCAACTGCCAAAAGGCTCTTGGAGTCAGCTTCTTTCAACCTACTGGCCTTTCATCACTGCCTCCCTTCATTCCATTCGGGTCCAAACACGAAACTCCAGGCTTCCTCATCTACTCGGTCACCAAAATCCCCCACCAGTTAGCATGCTACACACTTGTTATCACTTAGTGTTTGGTGTGTCTTCCTATCGGTGGTTTGTGCATCCTAAGCATGACTTTTCCAATCTTACCACTTCTGTACATCTCGTAATGTAGTACCCCATGCAAAACGGATACTTCCGAAGTTGATCTTGATGTCACAGGCCAAATAGTACCTTTAAGTTGCCCTGGGGTGAAAGCCACCACTTTATAGATCTTAATAAAACAGCCTTGAGGTGACAAACGAAGGGCTGGGCCACAGCATTCACCAAGCTTCCGTGAATGAACCCTGACTCCTACATCCTGACACCTGGCTGCAGCCTTCAAGCTGTTGGTGTACACTTAGTTACAGAAATTCTGTAGAAAGATTCTCCATTCCTCTTTTTGAATGCCTTTTATTGATCCCACTACACCCACCTCCAAGTCAGTCTTTCATATTATGAACTAAAACAGTCTCGACGTCGCTCTAGCACATTTCCCACCTCTGTCTGCCTTGCTTTGCGTTAGAATGAGTCTCAGTGATAACATGTGCCTAGAAGACAACTTCTCACCTTAAGGGCAGGATCTCTAACTTCCTGGTGGCATCACCAGGCTCCCTGGCAAAGGCTTTGGAAAGTGTCTGTGTATAACGGACAAGTCTGCAGTGAGTGTTTTCCCTAGTGTTGTTACTTGCACAATTGTTTCCTTGAGTCGAAAATCAAGAACATTCTGTCATGGGAGATCATTTTGCATGCCAAGAGTTTCTCTAAGTTATTTAGAGAAGAAATTAGAGTTATTTAGTTATTTCTGTTTCTTGGAATCAAGATATACCACCTTATTGTGACATCAAGCGTCCTCCATTTCATTCCATTGGCTGGTTACAGCATCCATCCAATGTGGATCTGATGAAACTATGCCTTGGTAAATGCCTCTGTTGAATATAGTCACCACTCCTAGCAACAAGTGATACACAGCATCTGAGAAAGGAGTGCTACAAGGAAAGACAAAGGAAGAGGAGCGGAAACAGAGCACAGACAGAAATGGGGACATAGTTATCAGCAGAGAGATGCAAGAAGTGGAAGAATGGTTAGGGAAGCTGAGACTGCAGGAAGCAGGATGGAGAAATAAAAATGACCCTCACTGTCTGACTGTCACAATACTGATGAGCACTAAAATACTGCAGGTGCTGGCTCAGACGAATTCTCCATCAGCCTGTGAAGCAGCACACTATTTTCCCAGCCCATGAAAAACATTATTAATAGAGAAGAGCAAGGTCACGTAGGGAAGAAGAGACAGAGGTAAAGAATCCAGTCTTTTTCTGACTTTTAACTTACAAAACCTTAGAAAAAGTACATTAAAAGCAAATTTTTGAAACTGGAAAATTTCAAAGAATAAGCACATTTGCCTCATACAATTGTTTCTAGAAAAAGATTTTCAGAAGAAATCCATACTTGCAATGTCTATTTCAGTGCCGTTTAATTTTCACTTGGCAAATAAGGTAGAGGGAAGATTTGATTTGTATGCTGAATTAAGCCTTGCATCTGATACATTCAAACCTTGTTGCAAAGTCAAATGTCTCCACGAAAGCGTCGTAAACAGTGTCCTCCGTCAAGTGTCCATGTGTGATATCCTCACTCATATTCACAGACGGGACACAACAGTAGGAAAAGGAGACATTTCTTTCATAAAGAAACTTTAAGAATAAACACCTAAGTAAGGGGCTGATCACTAGTCTGCACAGTACACGAATTTTTGGAATGTTTAACAGATACATATGATTGGATGTGTGATTTGGGCAGGAAGTTGCCTTTCTGGGCACCTTCTGCTCGACAGAATCCCAGTGCAGCTCACATTCCTGGAGCGTTTACCAGTCCTCTCCCGCCAGCCTGTCAGTCTGTAAGGGTTCAGTGCTTGGATGTTAGGGTAAGTGTTGAAGACACTCGGAAGATCTGGGGGAGCATGTTGCTAAGTTGATAAAACATTTCTTCAGAAATACTCTGTAGGAAGTGAAAAGAAGAAAAGTTTGTACTTGTTAAATCATCATTGATTTTTACAATTTTAAAGTATTTTAAAATAATGGAACTAGTTTTAGATATGGAATGCAATATGTCAAAATTTTCTTTCAGGACTGGGTTAACCGCATGGCTATGGGCAGGGGCTGTTTTTCTGGCTCCATCCTCTGACAACCTATGTTTCTGTCAAATACCAGAAAAACCCCCAGACGACACTAGTGTACTCGGTAGTAAAGGTGACGCTAGTTTTGCTAAGTTCTAGCCAGAATACAGAATTATTCTCTGCCAATGCCCTTCTTTGTGAACTCTTCAAAATCTATAAAACATAGAGCCAGTCCCGATGGCCTAGAGGTAAAAGTTTGGCAGGCTGTGTACCGGCGGCCTGGGTTCAGTTTCCAGGCACAGACCTACAGCACTCATCTGTCAGTAGCCATGCTGTGGTGGCAGCTCACATAGAAGAACTTAGAACTATACACAACTATGTACTGGGGCTTTAGTGTGGAAATAAAAGGAAGAAGACTGGCAACAGATGTTAGCTTATCTTCCCCAGCAAAAATAAATAAATAAAATCTATATAACATAAATATGGGGGAAAAAACAAAGGAATGACGAGTCAAGTTTGGTTTTGGGGTTGACTAAAAGATCCTTTGAGTGGTAGACACTGACATCTTTGATGATAAACTGAGTGCCTTTGTGGCACCCAAATGCTTCCCCCTTGAAATCACAGGAAGCTGTCAGCATTCTGTTACGAGTTTAGGGCAGTGCGCCTAGCTGTTATCTGCGAGGAATACTGCCACAGAGATTAAACTGAGGTGCGATCTATCCACATAACACACCTGTGGTACCAGAAATTGCACTGTCCGAGAAACTCCTCCATCCCATGAAGCCATTTCCATCATGAAACCTAAAACAGAACAGCAGACTTGGCTGAATTATGAGTTCTGGTCCTCAGACTTACCAGTCACTTCCTGAGGTGAGTGGGATTTTCACTGTGGGGCTTTGTCTTGACTTTCCAGGTGGCTGGGTGCCTGTAGGTGAGGCTAAGCCTACAGGACACAAACTTCTGCAGCCCTTACTGCTCCACGCCAGAGGCTGTGAACAGCTTTGTCAACATACTCTTACTTGTGATTTCTCAAGTCCTATTTAATCTCTATACAATGAAGCTAAAACAGGCTATTAAAGGTTAATTAAACATGTGGCTCTATTTTTTTTTCTTTTTAAGAAAATAAAAGGCAATACAGAAGAAGCTACACTCAGAGCAAAATATAAATAACATCCAAATATCTTTGTATTTCAATGGGGCCAGAGATTTATTTTGTGACTGGAAAAGATAAGTAAAACAGACCATTACGAAATAGTTGCTTGTTAACCCATTTAACTGAGGCACCAGATGACAGCAGGAACTTTCATAATCTTTCTCCCGGGTGGCTCCACTTTCACTATATGAGAGGAAGAAACATAGGTGGTGGTTGTTAAATATAAGGTTACGCTCACCTTTGACACACTTAAACACAAGTTCTGCTCTCCTTAAGCACCACGGTATAGTCATTTCCTAAAAACAGAAGCAAAACAAATCATATGCTTTTAACAGAACTTTGTAGAAAAACAAAGTATAGTCAGATCCTAATTTATCTATAATGCTGACTATCCACTTTGTGAATAGATTTAGGCAACTATTTGCAAATTTCAGTTGGATTTCCTCTGGTTTTTAGGAATACAAACTTTTCCAGCTGTTAGACTATACTTGTAGAATGCAGACTAATTTAATTAGCCTAGTAAATATAATTTTAAAAATTAACATATGCTTAAAACTTTCTAGACAACTCTAAAGACAAATATCAATGACATAAGAACTCCACCTATTATTGTCAATAGGTTAGCACGATAATTCTATTAAATTTTATAATATTTGAATAAGAAATGCATTAAAATGGTTTTATCGCATGTCATTACAAAAGTAATCAAATAAACGAACACCGCATCCCAGCTATCTAACAAACCAAATGCATTCGTTTTCCTATGTTCCTTTGTAATCTTTGACCAACTGTGCACACGAGTGCCAGTGTCACTCTATAAGCAACATCTTTATAGTTTTTCCTAGTTATGATCAGTGATTATACCATTTTAAATTGTTTCTTTTCACTATCATCAGAATATTTTCCCATGTTGCAAGTCTTCATAATTATAACTATAAAATGTTTATTACTTCATTATGGTGATTCCCAATCTTTTCGGGTCTTAGGATCTTTTACACTCTTAAAAATGACTGAGGGGGGCTGGCCCCGTGCTGGGTGTGCTCACAGCTACTGGGGTGTCCTTGTCCCCAGGCCCCTTCAGCTCACAGAGCAAGGAAATACTTATGTATCTATTACCTGGATGTTTTAATTTGCATTCGAATGCTAATGTTTTACGGTTTATATATTTTTTCTTCTTGGGAATAAAAATATGCTCATTGCCACTTACGCTGCAAGTAACTAATATCTCCTCTAATAAGTACTTTCTAAAGACAGTGCATAGTAAATGACCTCAAAAAACTCCAAGTATATAAATGCTTCAATATGCAAGGTTTTCACCTACAAACGATTATTTTTTTCTATAAAAGTCAGGAAATCACAAAAGGTTCTCTAGAGTACTTCTCATGCTAAAACATTACGGAAGCGTTAGGTACCGTACCAAACAACTGTACTCTCTGTAAAAGCCATCAAGGGCTTTGACGGAAGTTCCTCTGCGCTCTGGAGAGCTCACATTTGCTAGTCTGCCTGTAGCTGCATGCTAATATACAAAAGAACTAACAATTTTCAGCATTGATACTGCCTTTCACTGCAAATTTTAGGCAATGCATAATCTCCTTCTTGGTCACTTATGACCCCTAGAGGTCTTCAAACTGGGATCATTTCAATGGAATCAATTTTTTAGACCCTCACATCCACAGGAATCCTTTCTTAAAACTGATCTGACTGAAGATCTACCTTTGAGGGAGGTGTAGGTTTCTCCTTTGCCACCTCCCCTTCCACAATCCTCCTTCTCCCACTTTACGAAGAAAAGCTTACTTCTCTCCTATCCTGACCCCGCCACCTCCCAATATAAAGACCTTCAGTGCATCAATCAAAACATCGGTTTTAGTATTGTAAAAATGAAGAAATCTAACTATTGTAAATCATGTGGCTTACAATTCTTTGAGGTTCAATAAAACTGAAAAAAGGATCTAATTTGGAGGTGTTAGCTGTTAATTGTTAAATTTTTGATGCTAAAAACTGTGATGTTAATTTTAGCCTATAATTCAGGAGTTGAAAGAAATCCATTGGCTATAATAATAATAATAATAAAAAAAGTAACAACTGTGGTGAGGATGTGAAGAAATTAGGACCCTCATACATTGCTGGTGAGAATGTAAAATGGTGCAGCTCCTGTAGAAAATGGTTTGCCGGTTCCTCAACAAGTTACACATAGAATTACCAAACGACCCAGCAACTCTACTCCTAAGTACATGCCCAAAAGAACTGAAAACATACGTTTAAACAAAAACTTCTACATGAATGTTCACAGCAACATTATTCATAATAGCCAAAAATGGAAACAACCCAAATGTCCACCAACTGATGAATGGATACACAAAATGTGGGATATCCACAGAATGGAATATTATTCAGGCATAAAAAGGAATGAAGTACTGATATATGCTAAAACATGGATGAACCTTGAAGACATTATGCTGAGTGAAAGAAGCTAGACACAAAAAACCACAAATTGTATGATCCCATTTGTATGAAATGTTCGGAGTAGGCGTGTCCACAGAGACTGAAAGTAGATTCGTGGTTGCTAAGGGATGGGGGACGATCGGGACTGACTGCTAACGGGTAGACGGTTTCTTTTAGGGATGATGAAAATGTGCAGAAGTACATAGTGATGACAGTTGCAAAACGTCGCAAATTTACACCACTAAAACACCACTAAATTTTATTTTAAAATGGTTAAAATGGTGAATTTTATGTTTATGAATTTATCTCAATTAAAAAAAAACAAAATCAGTGACATTGATATAACAAAACTCTTCCATCCAGATCTATTTATGTCAACAAACTTCTCAGTACTTACATCTATAAAAATACCAAATAAGAATCACATTGATCCTAATTCTAGCAGTAATTAACATTAACTTATAGACACATGAATGGGGAAAAATAAACAAAACCCTATCCATCTCTACAGGAAATGCATTTTGGTGAAATTTTAATTTATATGTTGAATTATCAAAATATGTGTTATTTTGATCAATTATATACTAGTAATGCTACAATAACAGAAAAAAATTATAACAGAGCACTAGGATCATAGGGAATACATTTAAAAAAATTTCAGTTAATATACATATTTTCATTTCTGAGAAGTCTAAGGTGACTAACACAAAAGAATTAAGCATAAAATACATCACATTAGAAAAAATTTTATGGGGATATACTGGAATGGAATTATGAGTTCAAAGAGAAAAAGGAAAGGCGTAAAATTTGACTCTTAAAAGTTCATGCATTTTAAAAATGGACGATGGTGGATGCGGTCACAGTACTGAAACTCCACAGGACATATCTAAGACTGACGTAACAATTCTTAGCGTAAAAGGCAACATTTTCAATTTTACTGAAAATTACACTTTTCACAACTATTTAAACCTACGTGAAAACTTTAAAACATGTGAGGGGTAGTTATAGAAAATTATTTGGGGGCACACATGAGCAAAAACTTATGAGCACTGATGCAGTCCACTTCAGGATGAGAGCCAAAGGGAAAACAAGGCAGGATGCTGCTCTCACTGTTTTCTGCAATCTCAGTATTTCTACTTCCGCTATTAAGATTCAGTAAGTTGACAGATGCTGCCGAATCTGCAGGACTTACAATGCAATCCGAATGCATTTTGAATGAGGCTAAACAAGAACAGAGTTGCCACAGAACTTTGTATTTTGCTATCTTCTCTTCTTTTCTCTTAGCTTTTCCTTTCCAAGACTAGGCATCTCGATCCTGCCCTCACTGGTGTCCTCTGGCCGAGTTCTTTCGTCCTTGGATTCTTCCTCTCGCTCCAGCGTGCTTCTGCCCCCCTCCCATCCACCATGCGCAGGTCGGCCGCTCTCATCTCCTATTCTAAAGGGAACCTTCCCTTGACCCTGTCACTTACGTCCATTATTCCTTCACCACGAAACTTAAAACAGTGCTATCCACTTACTGCCTCTGCTTCCTTCCCAGCTACTCATTCTTTCACCCTTGGCCATTAGGCTTCCACCCCTACCAGCTGACGGAAAAAATGCTTTATTCGAGATCATCAATGATCATTAATTACTAAACATTTTCTCAGTCGTAATTCACATTAGTGGCCACTCCCCTTTCTTCATGAAACTTCCCTGCCCCCTGCCTGGCCCCTCTGGGGGCCGATGTGTCATCGAATTATCCTAGTTCTTCACACATCTCTGATGGTCTTTGTGACCTCATGCCTAGTTACTGCTATGCCTTCCAATCTAGCTTCCTGGATTACAATATTTCCCCTCCAAAGCACTGATTTGACTAATTTAAGTGCATTTCTGATCATATTATACTCCTGCTTAATATTTACAATTACTTCTTATTGTCTCATGAATATCTAAGCCTTTCTTTTAGTATTTAAGGCCATTTACATTAGGTTTAAAACTACCTCAGCTTCTATGACTTTTAAATTAAAAAAACCGAAGCTTTCATTCAAGCATAAATGTCCACCTTTGCCTGAACATGATGTGCAATGCCACCGGTCACCCACCTCCTCCCATTTGTCCTCAAACCATTTCTTCTGCCTAGAATGCCTTCCCCATTATTTCCATCTATTGAAATCCGATCTCCATTCTTCACTGTCCAGCTTAATTGCCACCTCCTTCATAAAGCAACTCCTATTTCCCCAGCTAAGAATGGTGTCTCTATCCTTTGAACTTCCAAAGTATGTGGTTTTTCTTCGATCTCAACAATCACATTTCACTGTGCATTTTGCGGGGGAGAGGATGTGAGAGGAACAGGGGATTTCTGTTTTCTTTTCTTTATTAAGTTATGTCCTCTCTGAAGGCACGAACCACTGTTTATTCGCCCTCATTACTTTTACAATGCCTTCTGTAATGCTGAGTAGACAGATTCTCACAATTATAGGTCGAATGAATTATCTTTTATCTATAGAAATTTAAAAAGAAAGCGACTTTCTCTGTAACCAGAAACAGGCTTTAAGAGAAACTACTTTTTGTGTCCAAGACACTTTGTTTTAAGGTTGATAAATAAAAGAGGTCTACTTGCTGAGAGGGCTAAAAAGTAGAGTCCTCTTTCCCAAGGGTCTGGAAGCTTAAAAAAATGCCTGGTAGAATTTTCTGAAGTTTAACTTTGTGTTGTAACACTTCCCAGCTTCAAAGTTCAGAAAGAGGAAGAGTATTTCCTTGTAACTTCAAAGACTGTTCTAAGACAGCCGCTGTGTCTTCTGGGACACACACATGCAGGGAGTGACAAGTTGCTTTTCTGGCTTGTTTTGCCCTAGTTAAAAAAGATAATGTAGAG